ATTTAAGCACACATGCGCTAATATAATAAATCGAAGAAGATAGAAAATAAATATTTGTTATACAAGTTGGGTATGAGATTGCTTGAGCTCTCTCTCTCTCTCTCTCTACAGAAAGTCTATTTTAGAAAGATGGTCATTTGCAAGTCAATATATTGTCTTTAGAAAAGTTCAGTTAATTTATGCTTAAAGTTCTTATTAGTGATGTTCCGTTTATTCATCTACCATGAAATTAAGAAAGACATGAATCATATATTGACTATTTTACAGTTATATCTAAACTAGAAGTTGATGTTTGTAATAAAATATTCGGAAACGTATTACTGCCTTTTAATATAGCAGGACGCTAGTATATTTTTTAATAAGGATTATTGTCTTGTTTTTTTTTTCTGTGAAGACTATTACCATCTACCATCAAGATGGTACACAACTAAGGTTATGAAGAATGCAAATATAACCAAGGTTTGTCATTTTCATACCAGTGCCCAGATTGAAAATGAGCCATCGGATTCTATCGGATCCGTCTCAATTCGATGAATTCCGATGACTGAATCCGATAGAATCTCAATTGATTCCCATAATTTCCGACGCATTTTCATTACCGAATTCCGATGAAATCTGAGGAACAGATCGGATAGGATTCATTTGTCGGAATCCAGTCGGTTCCATCAAGTTCTGAGAAGTTAATTGTCGGGTTGCAGTGGAATATATGTTCTGTATATAAATTTATTTTTAATTGAATGTTTTTTAGATTCCAACGAAAAAAATAAGCTCAGGCATGCTAATGAATGAGCAGAATAAAAGCACATTAACACAAAATGATTACCAGAGCACTATTTTCCAAATAAAACTGAATGATTTCTCAAACTTAATATTTTGTCTCACTACACTCTAAACAAAATCCGTTCCCTAGAAATCCCAAAACCGTTCAAGAACCCATTTGGAAACCCACAGAAGCTTTCGAAAGGGTTTCCGATCTCCTGGAGCGTTTATGAAAACATTCTTTTAATTTCTGAAGATCCAGAAACCAATTGGTTTTCGAAAATATCGATTTGGACACCCTAAAAATATTTTCAGATGCCCTTATGGTATATTCAAGATTCTAGTTGGTATTTTCGGAAATCGAAAAGGTATATAAGGAAACTCATATAGCCGAAAAATTTCATTTAGTATCCGAAGAGGTATCCGAAAATATCTTTTCGGTTTCCGAATTGTTTTCAATCTTGCGAACTACTTCGGAGTTTCAATAAGTCTCAAAACAATTATCACAAAAATTGAAAAATAATATTTGCTGAAAAATTTTCAAGATCTGGGAATCCGAATCTGAACGTAGTATGCCGTAAAACATCAAATTCAACATTTTGAAAAACTGATTATAGGTTCGAGTTCCTCAACCCTGAAAACCTTTGATCGAACTTGATAGTAAATATTTATTTTTGAAAAATAAACCTTGTTTAAGGAAAATATGAAGTACACAATTTTTGAAAACCAATTATAGATTCGAGTTCCTCGACTCTGAAAGCCTTTGATCAGACTTTATACAAAATCATTGTTTTTGTAAAATAGGCTTTCTCTAACGAAAAAAACAAAACTCAAAATTTTGAGAAACAATTTATAGGACTTGTCAAAGAAAGTTACTTTAAATGCCTGCTATAGAAAATAATTCTTAAGTATTTCACAGGAGAAGTACTTTTAAGCGGTAATTGAGCAATCTCAATTTGGATCAATTTATAAGGGAGTTTCAAACATACATGTTTGCATACAACTTTGATCTAGTGGTTTATATGCCCAGTTTCGAATTCGATGATGCGCAAAAAATGTCAGGGTTTGAGTCCACCCGTCGGCAAAAAAATTTGTAAGGCTCCAAATTGAAAAATAATATGATAGTGTAAGTAATAAAAGGTAATATGAAAAATTTAGTAATAAAAATTACTATAGGAAAGTAAATGCTAAGACGTACTATGACAGTGTAAATAGCAAAAAGTAATTGACTATATAACTAATAAAAAAATACTTGTTTCCTATAAGTATACTTATTTTCATCGGAACTTGTCGGATCCGATAAGATGCTTCCTCAGTTAAACGTCCGTCGGGTCACTGGATTCTGGACTGAATCCGATAGAATCCAACCCGATTAAGTCGGAATCCGACAAGATTCAATGGTCGGATTTCTTGACTTGGGTAGAATCATCAATAAAGTAGTCTAAAATATTTTGTGGGTCAAATCAACATCTTATGTGCCTCTGTCCTTTTTGTACTCAAATAAATCAATCATTTACAATAAATTATGTATTCAAAGAAACTGCTTTTTATCATTTTTGCAAAAAAAAAGACGTTTATTATACATGATTTCTTAAAGAATATAATCGTCAATCTGAAGCAAAACAAAATTCTTGCTTTTTTCTATAAAAAAATCTTCTTCTTTCGAAGGCATGATTGAATTTATTATTAAAAAAATAAAATCATCTGACTTCTAACTTCGACATTAAATTACTGTTCACTGAGATTTATTCAGACTATCTTCATTCATAAAACTCTTCTCTGGATTTGATAATGCTGATGATGTTACTAAATTGTGTCGTTCAACTTCTGCTTGAATCATTGTTTGTTGAATCGATTTTGGTAATCCCATATTGAGAGCACATATATAAGGTATCATTTTTTTTGGTATTGTTTCAAAATTAGTAATACATCGAATGAACATACAATCATCACGTACATATGGAGTATTTTCTTGTTGAATAAATGTTAAAGGACAAAACTTAGGTAGACCCGATGCAATATTCATATTTGATTGTGATCGTTGAAAACTATTTGATCTAATATCAGGTCGAAATGAATCAATAATATGACGTTGATTATTTGTTTGATCATAAAGACAAAATGTAATTTTATAAGAAAATGGCCATGTCAATATAGCATCATAATCTCCTCGCATAAGTACAAAAAAAAGTGAAAGATGTGTTCGTCGTGCTTGACCATCACCATTAAAATATAATCTCATACACATTTTATAACCAGTCGGTGATGAATAAAATGGTGGAGAATAAACACTTGTTTGTCGTTCCGAAATAGAATCATTAATCTTCTGTGAAACATTTGTAATTTTCCAAATAAAAGTTCCATCATATGATGATTGACTCGATAAATCTGTTATCTTTTGTTTTAAAGTTTCAATTTCAGTTTGTAAAACATTTGTATTTATTTGAGTAGCATGAATAAATTGAGAACTTTCTTCAATAGAATTTTTTAATTGTTCTATTTGATATTGTTGTTCTGAAATATTATTATGAAGTTGTATAGCATTATCATGAATTTGAACATTATCATCATGTAATGATGAAAGCCCTTCAGCAAGTAAATTTACAGAATCAGTTATTTCAGAATAATTTTCTTCATTGTTTGATAACGTAGTATTAGTTTTAGGCTCACTATGTAATTGTTGTACGTAAAATATAACGGCTCTTAACAGACATTCTTGATGAATTTTACTTGAATAATGTGCTTCTAAATCGTCATATGGTATTTCTTTGAGACAACCAAACTTTTCAATAGGACATGTTGCGAAATCATCTATAGTGGTACGTCCACGTTTATGTGCCATCTCACAAGTATCATTCTATAAAGAGAAAAGAAAAGAATGAAATTTAAAGTAAAATATGTTTTTTTTTCTAGAATGATTGATAAGATAAATGAAATCTTTTGTACTATTGTTCCTAAATACTATTATCCATTTCCAAATAGAAGAGCAGTGGGTATGTTTTGAATAACTTCTGATAAAAATAAGATAGAGACCTGTGGTTTTCATCATTGCAAAGAGGAGATGAAGGCGCAGAGAATACATCTTATT